AAATACATGAAATAACCATACATTATTTAAAATAAAACATTAACTAAAGTTGATTAGATAACATTAAAACTCTACATGTACAAACTACAAAAATACATGAAATAACCATACATTATTTAAAATAAAGCATTAACTAAAGTTGATTAGATAACATTAAAACTCTACATGTACAAACTATAAAAATACATGAAATAATCATACATTATTTAAAATAAAGCATTAACTAAAGTTGATTAGATAACATTAAAACTCTACATGTACGAACTATAAAAATACATGTAATAATCATACATTATTTAAAATAATAAAACTCTACATGTACAAACTATAAAAATACATGAAATAACCATACATTATTTAAAATAAAGCATTAACTAAAGTTGATTAGATAACATTAAAACTCTACATGTACGAACTATAAAAATACGTGAAATAACCACACATTATTTAAAATAAAGCATTAAGATAAAATAGTAAAGCGTTAAACTTCGAATAACGTAATGAGTAACAGCGACTTAACGACCCGATTTCACAAAAAAAAATGGTGCAACCATAAATAAATACAAGTGCATGTATCGTCTTTTCATTACCAGTTGTAGTTCCTAAACATTCATTTTAACTAGTCCTTGCTTTCACATCCCGTATACTAAACTGTAATTCATGTATAATTCAACATCTCGAACTAAGACATATACTATATCTGATTGTACTAATTTCCGATAATGTACGGAATATTGTAACAAGTTTTACTGGAAAAAAAATATATGTTATACAGACACATGTAGATACCATTAAATTATTGTTAACCACAAGCATAAATATGATAGCTTGCAATAAGAATCGATAAACCGACAAATCCTTCAGTCAATAGTTGTACTCAGGAGCTTTAGAAGCTCGTGGTGTATTATCTCTTACAGCAACCATAAAATCAATTCCCATTAGAAAAAGTAGGCCGTAGCTAATGTTAATCGAAACTTGATGTTACGATCATAACTTCGAAAGAAAACAACTCAAATATATTTATAAATCTACCTCAAATTCTTAGAATATGTAAAGACAGGCCAAACGTTGCAGTGATTTCAGTCAATAGGATGGTACTGCACCATCTTATATATAGTTAAACAAATATACATATCTTAAAACTGCAATTTACAATAACTAGGTCACACATAGAATATACTTAAAATGTTACATTGTGCTTTCTAATTTAAAGCTTAAACTATCTGAACGACCAAGTCCAATAAAACGATAACTGAAATATCATACTTCAAAAAATAAAATATTTTGCTTAATCCAATTTTTATCAAAATGTCTCCATTACCAGGAAACGTTGTCTGCCGATTTCCAATTAAAAATAATTAGAACTGTATATATGATGAATTAGTAAACGATCTAATACAGATCGCAAACAAATCTAAAAACCTGTTTATCAGTTTAGGTTAACATTTCGAAAACTTCAAAATTATATATCGATGAAAATGATCAATGAATTCTTCGAGACATTTGATCATTAAAATTGTCATAAATTAATTCTTATTTATTAATCTATTTTCTTCACCAAAACGTGAATTTCAGTGAGCCAATTAAATTCAGAGACCTAATCTGTTTATTGATTCGCTACTCCAGCTGCAACAGACTAGTTTCACCGAAATCATGGCTCATCTGTGATTACTGAAAGAACAAAGCAAAATAAATAAAGTAGGTTTCACATAGTGATGGAAACAAAACAAACTGCTTACATTATAATTAGTGGTTAGTAAAGGACAATACATCTAAACTGCTTACATTCCATCACCGTTTTGCTTCGATGTATAGTCCTTTACTAACCATTAATTTATCACCACATCTTATCCAAATACAATATTTTACGATGCTAGTAAAGGACTATTGATCTAAACCAAATGAATTAATACTTCAACATGTCGAAGAATCTATAACCTTCTTATATTCTAAAAGTAAGAAACTCAAAATTAAATATTTTTGTTGCAGAAATCTATAATGTTACAAAAAATGTTCTATTAGCAAATCTCCAGTATTTCAGACTAATCTTAAGATGTCACTGCCTTTATTATCGGCTGAAAAGTATTTGATCCTTAGAATAATGTCTGCTTATTTGCATAGTGTTCATTGCGGGGATTCAACCCGAATTTTAGCGTATTGTCCTCAAGCTTAGGGTTGAGTCATCATAGGGATTGGAGCATAAAAGTAATGTACAAAAGTTATAAAATATTACTATGGTGGGTATTTAATATGTAATATAATTTGTCGAAACTAGTAAATTTTATATTTTTACTGGTTCACTATTAGTTGTGAATGTGTGTTTTATAGCAGTCGATAAATCATTAAAATAACCGTCAGATTGTACTTAATGCATAGATTTCATGGGAGTATTTGAAATTCAAATTTTCCTCAGTCTTCCTTTAATAAAAGATTTCTCTGCATTTAATTTATTTTTTCACTCCTTCGACATCTTAGTTTTCTTGATACTTCTTATATAATCAATTTACAGGTAACACCTCAGTGAAAAAAAGTATCTTTTCCTTTCAAGAGAAAGTAATGTATTTCTAATCAAAGCGATTATCTTTGAGAAATTATTATCATAAGACACAAAATCCCTATCCACAAAAACTAATTATATTATCCATTTTTGTCTAACAGTTTAATTTCAACCAATGATATATTAACTATATCATCAATAAGTGATGTTGGCACTGAATTTGTTCGAAGTCTAGTAGTGACCTTCATGGGTTTCAAGTATTGAAAATAACTTGTATATGTGAAATAATCTCAAAATAATTATCAGACATCATCAATTTATTTTAACTATGCTTGTGTACACGAGTATTAAATGTTTGATTAAAAGTCAGGCTTCATAATAAAAGCTAGGTCGTTGGCAAGGACACTAAACATTAGAAAAAAATCTTATCTGAAAACTCACATTTTAGTACCTTCAAAGGAATCACACTTAACTTCTGATATTCCTATAATTTATCAGTTGCTTTAAACCTTTATTTTACCTACTTTCGCTAACCTATGTTGTTGTTGTTTTTTTATGTGTGTCATAACAGTACTTTTAAAATGTCATGCGAAGCCATAATGTATCTGCCCTCTGTCCACCATGGAGATTGTAACTTCGTAAACTTACCGTTGACCATAATTGTTTTTGAACTTCTTTTTAAACGTAGTTTCTATCATCAGCATATAAAAACTTTAACTCGTTCTGGAATGTTTTAATATTTATTAATTCATTGTATTTGACCGATAATTTCATACATATGTTTATAATTTAGATCAGATTTTTAAAAGAAAAAGGTTTATCGAGTAACAGAAAGATTGGAATGAATCGGAGTGTGGATATATTGGCTAATTATTTTATTTTACAAATAGAGCTGTATTTCATTAATAACTATAAAATATTTTACAAATAGAGCTGCTATTTCATTAATAACTATAAAATAATTTACAAATAGAGCTGCTATTTCATTAATAACTATAAAATAATTTACAAATAGAGCTGCTATTTCATTAATATCTATAAAATATTTTACAAATAGAGCTGCTATTTCATTAATAAC